GATAACTTTCGTTTTTTTTTCCTAAGGGACCGGATATTTTAAAAAAAACGCCCTTTGGTTCCCGGGGTTGACGCGGCCTTAAAATGGGTATTTTAAAAGCCGGGGAAAAAAGGGCGACCGGGTGATGTTGACCACCTGCCCCCAAACCCCTTTGGTCTATAAAAATAGGTCTACCATTTACCCCCAAATCGCTAAAGGCTTTAAAGGGTCTCGTATGTTTTTTTTTTAATGTCCATGTCTTAAACTTAATAGAAAACGCACATTGGATCTAAAACTGACAACTATTCCTAGCATTAAAAAAAAAAATTCACCAAAACTTAAACTTATTTTTTTTTCTTCTTTTTCCCTTTGTGTTCGCTTTCGATTTAACCGACAGACGGGTTCTTGTATAAAATGACTGGTAAACTGACGTTTTTAGGGCCCCTTTTTGTTCAAAAAAATTTGCATGCAGGTGACTCACTGGGCCATATTCCTTCCTTGGGTTAACAAGGACGTTCGGGGACATGTTCTGAAGTCTGCACACATATTATATCATCAGTTCACTAGTAATACTAGGTAGGATCTAAAACTGTCATAAAGATAAGAAATTTGTCTTTTGGTTGGTGCAAGTTGAGTCACTCCCTCTCATAGCAATTTTCTGTGTTCCATTTATTACAACTCGCGATGTCCCTAACGGTTAAGGAAAGGTTACATCCTCAAATTGAATTTGATTATTTCTGTAGGTACATACTAAAATATTGACGGAAAATTAATTTGGGGCGCTAAAATCAACACATTGTCACGGATTTTGGTTAAATATGTAATTTTTTTTGCGGGCAAAAACTAAATCTTTACTCAACATTCCCAAAGATATTTCAAAAACTAACAAAGAAGGTTTAAGGAAAATGTTCACATACATTTAGCATTATATTTCAAACTTACTGAACTAAATACTAGTGACTTAAAGCAACGCTTTTAAAGTTATGTTCACTTATGTGGTACAAAAATTATTTCGAAACATGTTCACACGTTTTCTTTATTCAACAATTGTTCCATCTCTACTTCTGACGTTTGCTCAGCAGAAGTGGATCGATCATTTCAAATTCTCAACCTGGACGGCAGACCAACAAGGCAAGTCCTAGATATCCCATTCAACCTTCAAAGAGGTTATGATTGGGGCACCGGTAGCGACAAAACCAGCCATGTGTAGCATGCAGTATTAAGCAGATAAGGACCGAATTACTCTGCTGTGAATTCGGGATGGAAATTAAATCTCTGTTTGAGGGAACTGGCCTTACACTAGAATGTAACATTTCTAGCTTAACCCATTCACTAACACTTAAGTCTAGAGGTGAACAAACAACCAGAACGCTCCGCCACAATTTATGGCCAGTCAACGCACAGATTGAGAAGACTACTCGCCGTGGATTTTTTTTTTTTGTTTTGTTTCAGTTGAGATGATCCATAATTCAGAACTTCCGTGTCCTATTCAAATTCTTAGAGTTGGCCTCTCTGCCCCAGTTCTTCATCTAACTCATTCTGTTTCTTCTTCTTGGCGTTCACAGGCTGTTCGTCCATTTCTAGACTTTGGTCTTGTTCCGGAACTTGAGTTTTGTGTGCACATTGGCTCTACAGATCTGGTTTATTTGTATGCAGGCTGTTGGTTCCTTTTCTCTCAGGCTGATGCAGTCCGACTTGGAATAAAACAGCCTTAATTTGTAGCTTTTTTGCGACACGCGTGTTGGAAAAGGGGGGGGGGGAGGATTGGTTAATTTTTTTTTTAATATGGCGTTCTGAAACCCACACAGGGAATTTTACCTTCCAAGTCACAAATATTTGTTAGCTAAAGTAATTACCTCTTCCAGCATAGCAAGTGGAAGTATCATCTGCTTGGTACTAAGTTAAATAATTCACGTTTACTTCTCTCCGTTGCACATGTCACAAACTTGGCGTAATCTCGCATGGCGCGAGATTTCGTTTCGGCTCACATTCATGCCGTGGCCTTACCCACGGCTGTTCTGTGTTCTAGGGGTGTCATGTTGTGTTATTTCCAACGCTGTAAGCAGTCTATAATTCACGCTATGAGCAGTTTGCACGTTCTTTTTTTTTTCACGTTGTGGGCGTCAGGCCAGTACTGTGTGAATTACAGTGTGGTGCTATGGCCCTTAATCGCAATCATTGCGGCCTTACAAGGTGACTTGAATTTCTAGATGAATTTTTCATTAGGACTCCATCCCCCTCCCCTCCAACGGCCCCTTTCAGGGCTTGACCCAGAATGTAAGCAATTCTCAAACCAGTGACAGTTGCACAAGAGCTTAGTTGACAGAGAAAATAGAGCGGTCACTTCCACGATAATCTTTCGATGGATTGCTGATACACACACTAGCTCACTTCTGATTGGTCGACCTTCGCACACTACTACGGGGATGTTCGGCAAAGCCGTTGATATCGCGTGTTACCAAAGTACCGAAAGTACCGAAAGTACCGAACACAGTTAGTGTTCATGACAGTTAGTGTTCATGACAGTTAGTGTTCATGACAGTTAGTGTTCATGACAGTTAGTGTTCATGACAGTTAGTGTTCATGACAGTTAGTGTTCATGACAGTTAGTGTTCATGACAGTTAGTGTTCATGACAGTTAGTGTTCTTTCAAAACGCTCTAGGTTTCAGCACAAAAACATTTTTAAAATCTACACAACCTGACAGGACATTTAGCTGGATACAGATGTATGTGAAAAGCTTTCTCATCCTCCCCTCTATTTCTTGTCTCTCTCTCTCTCTCTCTTGCTCTCTCTCTCTCTCTCTCTCTCTCTCTCTTTCTCTCTCTCTCTTGCTCTCTCTTGCTCTCTCTCTCTCTCTCTCTCTCTCTCTCTCTCTTCCTCATCTCCTATTTGCCTCCCTCTCTGTGTATTTTTATTATCCTCTCTCAGGTTAATTTTCTCCATCAGCACCCCCCTTCCCCAGCCCATCAATCCCTCTCTCTCTCTCTCTCTCTCCCTGATATGTGTCTCATTCTGTCTCTCTTTTTTACATCCCTCCCTTGATTTATATAGATTTATATATATCCCTCTCTCGCTTTCTCTCTCTCTCTTTCTCTATCTCTATCTCTATCTCTCTCTCTCTGTCTCATAAGACATACACATACACATACACCTACACTGGTAAGCTTTCCAACAAACAAACACAAAACGCCACAACCAAGAGTGACAAAACGAACGTTGCTGTTAGCAAAACTTCATCAACATTCAACAACACGGACGGTGAAAGAGATGTATAAAATCTACACAAAACAACAGATGTTTAAAGGCTACAAATGCAAACAAATCCATTCTTGGTGTAATAGAAAGCTCTCATACACGCCAGAAAGCCTGTGTGCTAACAGCAAGCAAGGTTGTTTTGGCGTGTAGCTATCAACATCATCATCATCATTATCCCGTAACACTGCGTGTCACACGTCGCCAGTTGTTGACTGTCTGATCATCTCTTTCCACTTTTGGCGGTCAGTTGCGATGGACTTCGTGGTTGCATGCCCGAGGCCTGTCCAGTCAGTCAAGTTCTGTATTCAGGTCTTCCTTGGTTTGCCTCTTTCCCTTTTCCCCATCTGCTAAGCCCTGTAGGATTATTCGTCATATGTCGTTAGATCTTGTTACGTGCCCGCAACATTACATAATCTATCAGTCTTTTTGCTGCAATTAAAACAGGTTCACAATTGCCCGTGTGTAGCTATAGGTCTTCGAAAATTATAACGCATTTATTTGATTTGATTTGATTTGATTTGAACGCGAGGAACAGAGAATGGGACAGAAGCAGAGAAAAACGACAGGGAATTGCCCTTGCAGAGACCATGGTTGACTCCGATATGGTCTGCATCAATGATGGGAGGCCGACTAGAACGGCAATGAGGTCTGGCGATGCAGACACAGCCAATGACTTGGCATTTGTCTCCCAGTCGTCGGTTTTAGATGTTAAATGGACTGTCCTGAATGACTATGGGAGTGATCACCTACCATGTTCAGTCCTGATTTCTAAACCCAGTAAGGTTAAGGCTGGGAGAGCACGCAAGACCTTCCTGTATAAGTGGACCAACAACCTATTTGGACGCCTCAGACAGGGAGCATGCAACAGAACTACCAGAACTAATTTTCAACGCATTTATCAGATTGAACAACAACGCATCGGGAAATTTTTTCGTGTTGGACAGACATTCAAAGTGTGGCTTTTTGAATGACTGTGACGACAAAACCCCTCGGGTATCAGTCAAAAATAATTACAAAGTAGTCAAGTTCAGAACAGATATCACAGCATTCGAGACATTTCCATGAGTGCTCCGTCCCTATCTTAGCAGCCAGCTCAGAGTTCTAGTTCCCATGGTATCAGTAAGTAGTATATTGATTGTATGTCTTTCTTGCCTTTCATCTTAGTGTTGAGTTCGTCGGAACCCTTGTCATTCTCTGCAGCACTATTCTAGCCCAGTTACATAGTAATGTTTAATATGTGTGAGTGAACATAATAACCTTAAATGACTAACATAATATGTTAAGTACTAAATGTGCACAGAATATTTTCAAGGGTAAAAAAATTACCAGTTCTCATTTAACACGAACTATGTCCAAGTTGTTTTTTTTAAACGTATAAATCTTAATTAAAGAACAAATGAAAGAAGAAAAACATGAGGCAAAAAAAGTAATACATGCAAAACAAAACAGAATTAAAGATCACACTACAGGGATGCTTACAGAATATTGCTAGTCTATGTCTGCGCCCTATCAGACAGATTAACAAATTAAGACTTATTATCTTGCATTATATTATACACAAGGCTCTGATTGGTGATTTCAAGATGTGAATCCATACAGTTCTCCGCTGAATTTGTCTCGTGGGATGTGCAACACATAAGTGAGCTCACACAGAATTCTGAATCCGAGATCTAGATGCAGCTTCAAGGATGTGGCATTGCCAGAGACAACCAGCGCGGCGGCTGGAAGACCCAGGGCGAAATTCTTGTGCGCTAATTGGCTGATGATGACCTTTGCCAGGCCACGACCTCGAGCTTCCGGCAAGACGTACAGTAAACCAGTGGTTTCGTCCTGCAGGGTCAGCTCAAACCCTAGACATTGGTTGTTTCTGAAATGTATGGAAAGGGTGTTTTAATGCAAGAAGATCGGTTTCACTGCATCTGGTTTTGATCTTCTTTTTTTTTTCTTCACCCTCTTTTTCTTCTTCTTCTTCTTCTTCTTCTTCTTCTTCTTCTGCTTTTTCTGCTTCTTCTTCTTCTTCTTTTTCTTCTTCTTCTTCTTCTTCTTCTTCTTCTTCTTCTTCTTCTTCTTCTTCTTCTTCTTCTTCTTCTTCTTCTTCTCATGTTTATTATTATGATTATGATTAATATTATTATTATTATTATTATTATTATGCTGCTTCTGCTCCGTTTCCGCATCCCCATCTTCTTTCTCATTTGCATATATCTTCAGCAACTGTTTTCTTCGCCATTGTTTTCAATGTTTGGAATTTGCATACAAAGATGTCTATAGAAGTGAAGAACCCTTTAAAAGGGCTCTGTATGTATTGGGAATATAGGGCTAGACCTATATTTTATATACCATTGGGCACTCGGTGAGTGATGTCGTCAGCACCACCCAGGCCCCTTAACTTTCCAGGACTTTATCTAGTACCTACTAAAAGCTCTTTCGGCCTGGGAGTCAAAGTTTTTTTTTTTAATTATTATTGAGGCTCCGTCAGGTCCTGAACCTGCGACCCACCGATCCGCAGGCGATCGTCTCTCCGCTACACCACGCAGGTTCCCAAAGCTGTCTATGGTAACCATCAAACACCATTTTCACACATCGCCTCTTACAACACGCTGGAACAAGTATCCTTTGATGGTCGCCTGAACATGGCATTAGAAAGCTTTCGGGTAAACGATGAATGGTATCAACAAATTCTACAAATAAACAACACAGGAAAACTAGCAGTTTCCAACTTACTGGTCAAACAAGCCCACAGACGGGAAGTGAGTGATCAGTGCCCTGACAAACTCATCGGCATGAGCGCGAGAGTATTTCCACGTGCTGATCACCAGATCTGTGTCGGTCAGTGGGTCCAGATCTCTCATGGTGAGGTCACGAGGGACTGGTCTAGGATATTATACACTACGATATTAGGATATACGATATTATATGATGATAATACGAGAGAGAGAGAGACAAAGAGAGACAGACAGAGAGAAAGACACGAGAGAGAGACAGAGACATGGAGCAAAACAGAGACATAAAGAGACAAACAAAGAGACAGAGAGAGACATAAAGAGAGAGACATATACAGGGGGAGACAGAGATAAACAGAGAGAGACATGGGGAGAGATTGAGAGACAGCGAGAGACATAGAGAGACAGAGAGAGACATATACAGCGTGATAGAGACATAGACATGGAAGACAGAGCTAGACAGAGAGAGAACGAGAGAGGCAAAGAGAGACAGTGAGATACATAAACGGCAAGGCATAACGAGAGACACACAGAGAGACAAAGACAGAGTGACAGAGGGTGACAGAGACAGAGAAGAGACATATAAAGTCACATAGAGACAGAGATAGACTGAGACAGAGAGAGACGGTGACAGACAGAGTGAGAAATGCACAAATAATGGAGAGCGGGAGTAAATACACACGCAGAAACAACCAAAATTCACTGAATTTCTACTGCCTTCTTTCGCGATATCACCTACTTCCGGGAACACATACTGGGAAGGGGGTAAAAGTTTATACTCATTGCCTCCCTAACAAACACGTCGTACAAGGCGACTAATTAGAGATGTTCCCTAAGAAGTTTAAATGCATCTGCCTGAGAGGTGAGGACCCAACAGTCTGCATACAAATAAGCCAGATCTGTAAAATGGATTTGCACGTAAAACATATTCTGGAACAAAACTTGCCAGTCCTTCTCTGAACACTATAAGTTAACAGTCAGCCCACATCTGCTTTCTCGTGTCGTGGAAACGAGTTATTTGACCTGTTTATAATCCCCGATGGTTCTAGTCTGTGAGTTCTTTCACCTGTATATAATCCCCTATGGTTCTAGTCTGTGAGTTCTTTGACCTGTATGTAACCCCGTATGGTTCTAGTCTGTGAGTTCTTTCACCTGTATATATTCCCATATGGTTCTAGTCTTTGAGTTCTTTGACCTGTATATAATCCACTATGGTTCTAGTCTGTGAGTTCTTTGACCTGAATATAATCCCCTATGGTTCTAGTCTGTGAGTTCTTTCACCTGTATATAATCCCCTATGGTTCTAGTCTGTGAGTTCTTTGACCTGTATGTAACCCCGTATGGTTCTAGTCTGTGAGTTCTTTCACCTGTATATATTCCCCTATGGTTCTAGTCTTTGAGTTCTTTGACCTGTATATAATCCACTATGGTTCTAGTCTGTGAGTTCTTTGACCTGAATATAATCCCCTATGGTTCTAGTCTGTGACTTCTTTGACCTGTATACAATCACCTATGGTTCTAGTCTGTGAGTTCTTTGACCTGTATATAATCCCCTATGGTTCTAGTTTGTGAGTTCTTTGACCTGTATATAATCCGCTATGGTTCTAGTCTGTGAGTTCTTTCACCTGTATATAATCCCCTATGGTTCTAGTCTGTGAGTTCTTTGACCTGTATATAATCCCCTATGATTCTAGTCTGTGAGTTCTTTGACCTGTATATAATCCCCTATGGTTCTAGTCTGTGAGTTCTTTGACATGTATATAATCCCCTATGGTTCTAGTCTGTGAGTTCTTTGACCTGTATATAATCCCCTATGGTTCTAGTCTGTGAGTTCTTTGAATTTTACAATTTTCAAAATGCAAGAGATTAATCTTTCTCAGTTTAAATTATTACGATAATAATAGTGTTGATACAGTGATATCCCTGGCGTCGACGACGATAATGATGATAATGATAAAGACGATGATAATGATGGTGATGATGATAATTATGATGAATCACTAATGGTGATAAAGATAATGATCATGCTAACTGATAGTGATAAAACTGGTAATGGTGATTATTGGTGGTGATGATTGATTATGATTAGCATTGATCATGGTAATACAATAGTACGCTGCTATGAGGGTTCAAACCTTAGTTCAACATCTCCAGGGTTAGCCACTATTGCTATGCACCGGATTGTACGTGAAAACGAGTCTGTGCCGTTGTTGGTTTTACTAACAGCACCCACAACAGCGGCGTTGTCGTTGGACAGCACTGGGGAAGATGTAGAGATGTAAACACATAGTGCATTTATTGTTTGAAAATCCAGTTCCCTACAACCTTCCATTAATATCATCATCATTGTGATGTCGTGCTATTAGGGTAAAAATAAAGTGACTTATTTCGTATGGCCCGGTCTCTCTCGTCAGAACAGCTAGCTGCCTGCCGAGAGCTTCGCACAGAGCACGACCTCCGTAGCTCTGGTGACGATCTCTATGGATCACCATAAAAATTGCACTCGTGAACTAAACGGCGCCGCCGTGAAACGAATCCACGACCTTGGGAGCGCGAGACAATCGGCTTGAGCACTTGGCTACGGAACCCCGCCCCTCTCCCCCCAAAGGTCGCGTAGGTCTCGCACTCTGTTTCCCAGTTCAATCCTATCACGAGAAAGCTTTTTGATATCCTTAATGGAATCCATTCTGGCAACTTCGGCCTCTCTCATTAATGTTGGTCTGAGAGTTTCTCATGGATGACCTCGTTTTCTCAATGCCTGGAAAGTGAAGGTGGCAAGTGTGATAACTGACCACATCTACATTTCAGTGCCCTATATCTCTAAAATATATGGAGCTAACACCATAGGCCCAAATAGGTCTCTTGTTTGTAACAATAGTCTTTAGCTCTTTCTGTCCTACTAAATGTATCATGTGTAACAGGTTCATTGAAGGTCACAAAAAAAACGTACTAACTACAAAGTGTCTTTTACAATAGCGCTGGAAAAAATGATACCTTAATAGGTTCTCGTACTGCGTACCGTTGCGTACCGCTAGGAAAAAAAACTGCAAAGAAGTAACTATTGTCCGTATATGTCAAAAAACAAAAGGTACAGTTTGTTGTTTAATTTATTACATATGATATATGTAACAAATCTATCGAGATACTTTAACCAATAGCTCTACACATGTTGCATCTTTCTACTGTAGTTACTACCCACTTGGGCATCTGTTGCTAAATGTTCAAGGACCGAAAGAAAAATAGTCTTAACTTACTTTCAAAAATGCATGGTTCTGACCAGTCGATGAAACCTGGCCACGTCAGTAACATTTCCGCATGTACAGGATTGGGAGAGAAATAACAAGTACACCTAGGCTTGGTCAGATAGTTGATGATCTGTAAGTACAGTTGTAATAAATTGTTTGCATACGTATTTAATGATCTTTAAGTGCCGCTACATCAAACTGCGAACAGGTGTAACTTGTGATCTGTGAGTTAAAAAAATAAAAAAAAATAAATTAAACTGTTTGCAGCTGAAATTTATGATCGGTAAGTACAACTGCATTCTTTAACGAGGACCTAATGGATGGCAAATCTGGTGCTTGCTTCTGCGGCAACTCCAGCTGGAATCTCATACATGATTGACGAAAATAACAATACGGATACCTGAAATCTTGTTCTTCTTCTTCTTCTCTTTCACCGACTGTAAACTCCGGCGGAAAGTTCTGGTTGGGCGTCCACTTCTGGCCTCTGGCACTGTTCCAGAAACTGAGTGTTGCGTGTACATCCGTTTTACAGGTCTGACTCATCTTCATGCAGACTGTTGGTTCCTCGCCTCTCAGGCAGATGCACTTCGACTTCAAAGGAAGCTCCCAATTATTCGACTCTTACGACATGCTTCTGGGCAGACAGAGGGTCTATTCCAGTTCCCACCCTCCCTCCCCACCCCCCCCACACACACACATACACACAATGGAGCCCCGAAGTGCGCTGGGGTGCGCTGACTTTTTTTGGGATGTCTCGTTTTCGCTTAATTTTTTTGTAGGATTTCCTGTTTTCAGCTGAAATATTCAGTGGCAGGTCTTTTTTCAGCTTAAATTTTAGTGGGATGTTCCGTTTTCAGTTTAAATTGTAGTGGGATGTTCCGTTTACACTAAAAGGACTTCCTGTTTTCAGCTCAAACTGTTATGTGGGATGCCTCGTTTGCAGGACAAACTGTTAGTGGGATGTCGTGTTTTCAACTCAAAATGTTAGTGGGACGTCCTGTTTTCAGCTCAAACGTTTAGTGGGAGGTCCCGTTTTCAAATCACGATGTTATGGTGACCTAGCAACATATGGTCTCTATAAAACTGTCTAAGCTTATACTGTGCCAAGAAAAGATGGAAATGTGCACTCAAGTAAAATGGCATCATAACTGGCATGTTTGTGAGTCTGTGGGCACAATTACATCTGACTGTTTACATAGGAGATTAATGATCTTTAACTATAAAACATCACATTGTTTACAGATCATGTTTATTATCTGTAAGTCAAACTATTTGCATGTTAATTTTATGATCTGAAAATCCAATTACATCAGATTGCTTACAGGACAGATTTATTATCTGTGTGTCTAATTACATCAAACTGTTTACAGATGAGATTTATGAAATGTAAGTCCAATTACATCAAACTGTTTACAGATGAGATGTATGATATGTAAATCTAATTACTTCAGACTGTTTACAGATCAGGCTTACAAATTAGACCCTTACCTCATCAGGACAAGTATACCTGTCTGTTTTTCTATCTGTCTGTCTTTCTGGCTCGATCAGGCAAACGGTCAGATTGGTCACTCGGTGCTTGTGTGTGTCTTTACGTACGTGTATACTTACGTGCGTGTTATTGTATTATGTATGTACACACGATCGTGCGTACGTAGCATGCGTGTATGTATGTACATACGTACCTAGGCCAGCAGTACTTACATATGTATATGTGAATGTGTGTGTGTGTGTGCTTGTGTATGTATGTATTTATGTGTGCGCGTGTGTGTATATATGTATATATATGCGTGTGTATGTATGTGTGTGCATGTGTGTATGTATGTATGTACGTACACGTGGTCGTACATACGTACTTATGTGTGTATGTATGTATGTACGTACACATGGTCGTGCATATGTACTTATGTGTGTATGCGTGCGTAGGCCGACAGTACATACATATGTGTATGTATGTTTGTTTGTGTGTGTGTGTGAGTGTGTGTGTGTGTGTGCCCGCGCGCGTGCATGCGATGCTTCATGTATGCAAGTATGTATACATATATATATTTATACATGCATGAAGGTAGGTAGGTATGTATGAGTCATGATCCGAACGAAACAATTACCGTGACTGACAGTAATGGTCATCTTGTATTTCAGTACTAACCTGGCTGTTCTCGTCAGGAATCCCTTCTCCAACGGCTAAAATGGAATCCTGTCTTCGTAACACCCACCACGTTTGACCTTTCCATCTGCCCTCCAGAGTTTCTCGCAGCATGCATGACAACTAGGATGTGCAAAACGGTATTCTGACTGCAATATTTAACAATTCGAGACAAACTGAGCAATGATACTTCTTCGCTTTCATCGGTTGTAAAATTGAGGCAGAAAGTTCAGGTTGTTCGTCCACCTCGACTTTAGTTTTGTTCAGGGCCTGATTCAGAGGAATAGTTGATTAAATCAATGATTTCAGACAATTACTAGACGGAACAGCTGTAATTAGAGAGGCCGCGGATACATAATATGGTTCTGATCACAGCAAAAAGCCTTACTACATACTTCTGAGAAGTCTTTCGACGAATTTTTTGACTCAAAGAGGCAAACTGGAAAACTGAGAGTAACAAGAAAGTTATCATTTATTTAATTATAATTTATTTAAATCAAATCACTACAAAATATTAGCATTGTGTGGGCTTATTAAATGCGATGGTTGGGGCACATTAAAACAGACTACATAGAGACAAAACTGTGTACAGAAAGGAAGTCAACAGGAGTAAAACACTAGACAAACCAAGACGACAGTGAAGAGGAGAAGATGATAAATAATAGTTTGAAAAATTTTGACACAGCAACGAAAATTAGAGGAATCTTTGAAAGGGGTGCTTTATCTTTACTTTTTAGAGACTGTTTTAGATACATAAAGAATTAAGATATCCATCAAAGTTACTGTTTGTCAGTTGAAATGAGAAAGATAATTCTAAAGAGTTATATAAATCCTATCCTAATTAAGGAAGTGGACTATGACAGTTAAGCGATTAGTGAAAACAAAATATAGCGGAAGCTGCGGAGATGTGGTTATAAAGACAGATGTTGAGAATACCCTGGGCAGATAACAACAGTAACAAAGACGTCTTGAAAGAAACTAACTCACTAAGAGAACTGATTGCCCAATCAAGAGACGATCTACATACTTTAATCCTGTCGTGAGAATGAGAAAACTGGAGTACATCGTGACAACGGGAAAGCTGGAGGGGATAAGAGGCAAAGGGAGATCTCGAGAGAAGATTCTAGACAGTTTGACATCATGACATGGGTGATCATCTATGTCAGAACTAAGTGAATTGACACGAGACAGAAGGTTGTCTTTAGGCATGTCTACCAATGCTACAAAACATGAACTATATTAAGCCCACCTAAAAAAAATGGCTACAGCTTACGTCGTAACCTGTTTGATGGTGCCCCAATATAACTCTGCTATATGACGATAGGTTTCCGGAATTTATACTTGTTTGATTATCATCCTTAAGATTGTAATCCTACAGTCTGTATTCCTGGGGAGGAAACACTAAAAAAGAGGGGATAATGACGTATCTCTTTCATTCCCAACAGGTTTTGCATCAGACGCCTAGAAGGAGACCTGTCGTTACGAAAGTTCATAAATCATCATCATCATGTAGCCGGTCCTTTGCAGAACGTCGCTCTCATCACGATCTAAATGAAAGAAGCTCTGTCTCTCACCAGCTTTCCCACCTCATGTACTTTAATACTCAAGGAGTCATTTATATCCTCTGCCCGTCTTCGTGTTAGTTGACCCTGTCCCTCCTTCCTGGTACCATGCCTTCTGCTATTCCCCCCCCCCCCCAAATCCACCGTGGTGTTTGATGTGACCAAAATATTTCGGTTTCCATGACAAGCTGCTCTTTATTAGCCAATCTTACTTGATGTTCAGATCTTTTAAAATGCCAGTATTTCTTCTCTTCTTTGCCCATAGTATTCTGATAATCTTTCTATAGCATTTCAGCTCAAAAGTCCATGTTCTCTTTCTTAAGGAATGGAAGATGGTCCGCGACTCTCATCCGTATGTTGCTAGAGGGGAGATGCATGCTCTCAAAATTTTAATTTCTTTGTTCGTGCTTAACCATAGAATTTGAATACTGTTGCATTTTCAGTTCTTCATCATTCATAGTTGTTCTGGGTTATAGCCAGTTTTGCCTGTGGACATTATTTTCGTTTCTTTTAAATTCAAGAATAGAAATTCATAACTATAGGACTTTTAGATACACAAAACACACATTAGACGTGGCCACTGGGGTAAGCGTGCGGCGTCCGTGGCTTTGGCGTTGGGAGTCTGACTCGTGGTTCCAACGTACATCAATCGAAACCCACTGCTGGCTGCGTGGAATTTTATCTGGTAATCTGGTAATTTTAATTTCAGCTTCATAGCAAACGGGTCACCCCATCTTTGCTCCGCTCCTGTGCCAATGAAAAACACACAGAATGTTTATCACAATCCCTTGTGGAAAGACTGACAAACTGCTGTCTTAGCCAATCTAGCATACACTCGCATTAAAAGCATATGGTAGCCATCCGAAGTGCTAACACAAACAGTCTGACGTTAGAAATGCAGTTCATCATTGATGGTAGCAGAAGTCACCAAAAGATGAGCAGTTGCACACGCGATCAATTTTAATCAAATAATGACCCCCCCCCCCCCCCCCCCTCAATATTGCGACAACCGGCATCGCGCCATTTTCTGAATCTACTAATCACACCACCACGTTGGTTAGTCGAAAAACATTCCAAATGAAATCTGCAGCTCACAGTGTCACGCTATGAACTCAACTCAGAAGCTGGGTAACGAAACTATATACTTGCAGTCTACAAATGGAGCAAAAAAGCAACGGCCACAGTCTGGCAGAAGCAAAAAGATTTGCCTAGGCTCAAAACAGTCGCAGTGCCTAGTGTTCATTTGGATCTGAAGCATTATGTGAGGGTTAATAAACTGTTACCCCAGCAGTACCCTACTATTAGCTGGGGAAGGGATTTAGGACATTACATCTACCAGCAAGCGTCGCCCCAACAACGACCTGACTGCCTTCGTTAACGACTGTTCACCCAACAGCCATGCAGTTCTTTGGCACGAAGGAGACACTTTGAACTTGGGTTTCGGACTACCGACTCCCTACATGAAGATATATGTGTGCTACTGGTGTCCCGTAGCCAAAATACTATCTCACTGTATTCAGCACGCAAACTCAAACGCGCAGTAGTTAAAAAAAAACCCACACACACACATATACATACATTCATTGCCTGCCACCCGCTTGCTTGCTGGTGCAGCACACATGACTACATATTTATATAAGTTTATATATATATATATATATATATATATATATATATATATATATATATATATATATATATATATATAATATATATATATATATATATCGAGAGAGGGAGAGAGTGAGACAAGTCAAGAATGTGGAATTGTATCATGGTATGGGGCGTCGCCGGTCGACCCAGCCTAAAATGGGTATCAGGACGTATGTCCTGAGGAAGTAAAGACGGCTGGCGTAATGCTGACCACCCACCTAGTGCTGATTGGTCTGTAAGAAAATGTTTGATCTTCTTATATGCCCGATGCACCTACATTTGTGAAAAGATGTCTTTACTTTACTTTTTTTTTACTGTGGTAAGCCAGGTTTTTTTAGTGTACGCTGGAAAATATACATGAACGCACTGCACTATTGTTGGATTTCATTTTAAAGAGTCCATCATACACCACACATTACTTGGGACTGAAAACGTTATCAATAAATGTAATGGTTTTAATGATTATTCGTTTATATTTCATTTGCTGATATGGTAACTTACTTTCCACGAGAGAGGGAGGTGAGATTTCAGCCATTCAAAGACTTTCAACAAATCTTGCCCAGATGTTTTCACTAGACTGATAGAATCTGTGAAATGAAAGAAAACCGAAGTCGCAGGAGTAGTTCCTTACACTTTATAAGACCTTCTTTTTTCTTCTGCTCTTCACCCCCCCCCCCCCCGCTCTTTTTTCCCAGAGTGTACGCTTGTAGTTTACGGTGTTTCGTCTAGGCTTCGGGCTGTAGCTTGGCAATGAAATACGGGCGCTCCTTTGACTTGTTCCCCAAAATGGCGGCTTTAATATGATGCCGTTCGAAAGAGAGCTAAATTGGCCAATTTCTTGCCATTAAATATCCAAAAATATCCGAATGCGGGTCAGTTCTAATAAAAATATATGTGCCGGCTCTGGATAACGAAACAAATGCTCTGACAGGGTCTCGGCGATACGGTGCTTGCCGACCTGCTTTTGCGAGTGTGCCTCACCGCCCAGGGGTATCCCCCGCGCCGCTACGCGCGGCATGGATGGGGGCTAAACTAGATGGCTGGGACTCACGAGTGGCAGCTACCGCATCTCCTGCAACTTCCTCCAATTACTGTACTCGTGAGTCCCAGGCACCTAGATACGCTCGGCGATGAGTTTAATCGCGTTTGGCGCATGCCGACAAGTCTGACATCTACCGCTGCTAAATCCTCCAATCGGAAGAACACAGTATTGCTAATCGCTTTCATCGTCTGCAATGTCTTGATATTGGTCAACGGTCGCTAAATATCGTCTGCTAGTATCGTCGTCTGCAGAAACGCTCGAAATTTTTGTCAACGGTCGGTATTTATCGTCTGCTACTAGTACCGTGTGCAATGTTGATAGTGACTGTCACGTAATCCTAGTATTGCCGCGATTATTTGTCCCTTGGCAGACAGTCCGTATTTTAGATATACGGGAACACCGTCGTTCGGATATTTTAGGATATTTTATGGCCAACATGTGGCATGCCGCCATTTTGGGGAACAAGTCAAAGGAGTGCCGAAATACGTAAAACACATTGCGGAAACATTGTGTCCCGATTCACTATCTGTTTACATTCTAATACTGTCTTACTGTCCGCCAATATGGAGTTCAAATTGTTCTTCAGCTCCATACTGGTTTCCGAGTTTGAAGAAGGGTAGGTGAAATCTGTAGAAAAGTACTGGTACTGTACCCGGTTAGTGTCTACACTGACCGTGTTGTGACCTCGGTGTCAGTGCATCAGACTTATGGATTTAAATGCACAGCTATTTAGAGAATTAATAAATATTCTTGCTACTTTAAAAACATGAGGTGTTTTTTCCCTACGAGTCAAGTACATCCAAGAAATCATTTTCAATCCCATAACACGTGTGTGCAAACAACACTAGAATTTCTTAGAAAACGAAAATTCTAAAAAAAAAAAAAAAAAAATCTTAACATGCATTTCTAGGGAATCATTCAAATTCTATACATATTTCGCTTCTTCTTCTTCCTCGTATGTTCTTACAAGGCCAGTTAGCACGTTGTATTGTAATTGACACCTAAGTTGTGATGTGTGTCCCTTTTAGTAAATCACACCCGATTTCGGCAAACCGTTAATTAGCCTCCTTTGACGACCTTATGTAAATAGGGTGCTGGGTCTTTTCCATGTTCATCCCCAAAAATAAGGGCCCTGAACCTACCCAGAACATCTACAATAAATACGAGTGTTCTTGGAAGTAAAAACTGTCAGCATGGTATTGATTGTGCCATCTATCTAGTAATGCGTCCCAATGTAGACGTAGCCTAACCTATGGGTTGAATAAGGTTCTGGGACTTGTCCCGTATGCTTCTCATCCGAATGGTGGGTGGCACTTTGTGTCACCGGGTGTTAATCGCTCGATGTGATGTCCTGGTGGGGTTGAATGTCAGTCAGTGACTCACTCACCTAAAGTCGATTGGTCTATAAACATGGGAGGTAGAAAGATGATTTTTACTTTAATAGATGTCAGAAGTTTCTCCTTAGTTTCAGCTCAGTCAAGATTGCTCCCAGGGCCATATTTAGTAATGATTTTGACCTAAGGATTTTGGACAATATCAGATAGAGTACTATTAGTATAACTTCGCGGCAGACCGCTTGACGTCAACTTAGTACGGATTTATGCCCCAACAATTGATAGTTCAGATAAAGATATTGACGCATTTTATGACGAGTTAGACATGGCTGTTGATCAATGCAACAATTGTTAAGTAACAATGGTACTTGGAGATTTCAACGCGAAAATAGGAAGTGAAAAGTGTACGGAATAACGGGTGGCTATGGCCTAGGAGAAAAGAATGTGAGAGGTGACAGATTAATAGCATGGGATGAGTCACGCAGCATGATAATAGGTAACACCTGGTTTAAACACCATCCTCGAAGATTGTGGACTTGGAAAAGTCCTGATGATAATGTCTGGAATCTGATTGATTATAATTTTGATTTCAAGAAGATTCAGGAGCAGCTTAGTTGGAGCAAAAACTAGACCAGAAGCAGACTGCTTTAGTGACCATGTTCCAGTTGTAGGAAAAATTAGAATAAAACTAAAGAACATTAGAAAAACACCACAGAACATCAAGTTAAATTTAGGAATTCTTAGAACGGATAAAGAAATTAGGGACCAGTACAATATCACTGTACAAAACCAGTATAATGCAATGGAAATTATACAGACTATTGATGAACAGTGGGATATGTTGCGTGAGTCAATTCAGCAGACATCTAAAAAGACAATCCCAACAACCCATAGAGTTGCAAAAAAAATGGATGTCAACCGAAATTCTGCAGTTGATGGATGAAAGAAGGAAGAAAAAGAATGATAAAGAAGAATACTTTAGAATACAAAAAGAATTAGTGAACAAATGCAAATTGGCTTAAGAAGCCTGGCTGAATCAAGACACAATTTAAACATTAAAAAAAAAAAAAGGTAAAGTCGGGAGATGTGAACCAGCGTCATTGCACACGTTTATAAACCATAAGTACGGACAGCTGATGAGAAACTGTCTGCCTGTGTTGCCGTCCGTGCGTAACCCTGTAGCTACAGAGACGTTCCTCCATTTACCCCAGAGTGTTAACTCTGGTACCCATTTCCTAGAGGCTGGGTGAACACCGAGAGCCGCCCGGTTTCAAACACCGACCGTGGGCTTCAGCGAGTCGCAGCTGGATTTGAAAGCGAGCCTCGTATCGACTGCGCTAACGCGGCTCCCGAAACACAATTTAAATATATGACAATACAATTGTATATGTTTGGGGAGCGGGATTTGCTTAGGTCCCTGCAGACTGTGTATTGGCCTAATATGTAGATTTTTAAACTTATGCCCTAATTTAGCACTAGCTGCACCTCAAAATGACAGACTCCAATAATACACACACAAACGTCAGGCGTAATTCCAGAAACAGATGTTATAACGATACACGGATACCGATACCGACCTTTATGACAAAGCAAAATAGCTTATTTGCTCTGCTGTTAGTGGGAAACTTCTGAGGTCAAAAACCTAGACTGTAAAGCATTTATGTGGACATGTAAAGGGACATTCTTTTCAAGAATATTCTGGTGAGGGTAAAGCGTATCATCGAGAGAACTTGGCACACGAAACTTCACAATATAAAAACTTTTTAATGATCATCTTTTTATCTTTATGTCTTGCTGTTTATAGGGAACATAAGGCAATCTATTCCTCCATGCCGTTTTATCCTAATCACGCTCTTCGGTATCATGGGGGAATCTAGCACAGTACCTTTGGCATCTGTCACCAACCTTCATTGCATGGTTTTTCTATCACCCGCATGTCTGTGTGTGTGTGTGAGAGTGTACGTGCAAGTGTAAAAAGATAGTATATGTTCATACCCCCATGGATAAGGCGTACAATATCTATATAATTTGTTCAATATCTGGATAATGTGTACAATATCTGGATAATGTGTAAAATTTCTGGATAATCTGTACAATATCTGGATAATGTGTACAATATCTAGATAATTTGTACAATATCAAGAAATCTGTACAATATCAGATATCTATTCCTCCATGCCGTTTTATCCTAATCACGCTCTTCGGTATCATGGGGGAATCTAGCACAGTACCTTTGGCATCTGTCACCAACCTTCATTGCATGGTTTTTCTATCACCCGCATGTCTGTGTGTGTGTGTGTAAGAGTGTACGTGCAAGTGTAAAAAGATAGTATATGTTCATACCCCCATGGATAAGGCGTACAATATCTATATAATTTGTTCAATATCTGGATAATGTGTACAATATCTGGATAATGTGTAAAATTTCTGGATAATCTGTACAATATCTGGATAATGTGTACAATATCTAGATAATTTGTACAATATCTGGAAATCTGTACAATATCAGATAGACCACACATCTTCGTCCTCTGCTTGTTAATTCCCCCCCCCCCCCCCCAATTGAATCATTGGCCTTCATCCAGCCCATAAGCCATCGCACGGTCTCTTATCCTCTACAGCTCCACCCCTATCTTCTCTATATTCCATGAGCTAGTCTGGAGATTTCTCCAGTGAATTGATAAAACTTTTGTATCCAGTTTCCTATTTGCTTTTATTGTATTATTTCACACTTCTTCGGTGCGAAGAGCCTTTTTTTTTTTTTTTGCTTGGCTAAGCTGTTCCTATTCTATTATTTTTTTTTTCTGGTTCTTGAATTTCGTTGCTAGTTTTCTGCTAGGCAGTGTGGCCAATCATAGACACGGTAACATGCCTTACTCGGCTTATTCACCATACAAGGTATGCTGGCACTCTTCCGAATACCGGCCCCATATTATTTGCTGTCCAAAACATTCCTGTTAGAGCCTCAAAGGGTTCAAGAGGTTACAAAGAGGTCAAGTAGCAACGTTAAGATCATCATCATCAGTCTTCACTTCTGCCGTTAGAAAATAGTTTTCGCTGCACTGAAGTGACGTGGGGAGGAAAAATTTTCGATCCATCGGAGCGCTGTGTCGATGGGTAGCAACGTTAAGATCATCATCATCAGTCTTCACTTCTGCCGTTAAGCGCCGTGAAATAATAATTGAAGCCATCATCATCAGTTTTTCACTTC